TTGCTTTAAGGTTGAGGTGTGTTGCGAGAGAGGTTATTTAGTATTAGTTTTGTTTTAATAAGAGAGAGTTCATGTGCTATTGAGATACAATGCGGTATAAAGCTATAGTGACATGCAAATAAAATAAGACTTTAAGTTCATTATTCTCATTTTTATTGTCCTATGGTACTATATCTCAGCCTTTCCCACAAGATTCCTTATTTTTATTCTTTTCCAAGCTCTCAGTTCAGTTAGTAATTTTATATAAATTCGTATGAAAACCTCCAGAAGCAATTAAATATCTTGTACCGGTATTTTTGTGTTTGCTGTTTATTTACTCTGTATTATTGTTATTTCCTGGTGATTTAGGGTCTGTTTTTCATATATTAATGGGTTGTAGTGATGTAGATGACGTAGTAATAAGGTAATGACTTGTGTAAGCTTGAAGAATATTGATCGAAATGGATGCCAGTGATTTCTAAGTCTAATATAATTAATAGTGTCTAATTTCTAAGTCTAATAGAACTAATTGTGGCTAATAATGATAATAATAACTAATAATAATGATATAACTAATAGTAGTATAGTCTGTATAGTATAGTAGTATAGTATAGTAATAGTCTAATAGAACTAATAGTAACTAATTTCTAAGTCTAATATGATATTAATTGGTTTGTGTTATTCCCTAGAATGTGATTACACTTACTAAGAGACAAAAAGGAAAACTATCCGAACATGTCAACCAATCGTACAGTAAAATAAGTGTATGGAGTGGTTACCTTGGCGAAAACTAAGACCCTTTTCATCTATGGTAAAAGGTGCGCAAATCTAAAATAAGGGAGATACAGGACAGAGAAGAGAGAAACTCAACCTTTTATTCCAGGATAATCACGGATGACACTTTGTGACTTTATCAGCACAGACACCTTGACGACACTTTATTTAGTATCATTATTTGATTTTTTTGTAAATAGTTGAACCCTTAAACATCAGGTATCGCCAGTATTACGTCAATATAGGGAAGGACGGGTGGTGTGATATTGCGTTCAGATTTCTGGCGGGGTGCATTTTGCCTGCCTTGAGGTTTGTCTTACTTCTCTTGTCTGCTGTCTAGAGATTAGGCCTCTGATGACACCTGAGTGCCAGCCATTGTGCCTGCCATTGACTGACTGTGGCTCCTGTGCATATTGGTGAACTGTCAGAGGCCAACTAATCTCTTTCATATGCATTTTGGCAAGATAGTTTATGTAGACGTTTGGCAGTTTCTCATTGAATAAGGAACCTATCCATGCTATGCCTTGCCAGAATATACATGCTGGAGTTGTGTTGGTCATTTGCTGTAGTGAGAAAGGTGTGAAAGACTGTGATCACTTAACGTAAATCCAGCATCTTAAGTATTAAGACTGTAGTTCTCCTTTCACAAATCACAGTAAGTTTCAAGCGGAATTGGATAGCAATATGATTATTAAAAACTCTTTTCTTAACAGTTGTCATTTTAAAAGCTTTTGTTAAATTCTAAGATAGGAATAGTTTAAATTTGCACAATTGATTTGCCGTTCATTATTTTTATATGGCAGTTGTTCTTAACCCAATGACAATGAATTTTGTTAAATACAGATGGCTCAGCCACTAAGGAATTTAAATTAGAAGGCCCTAGTGACCACACCAGACTGCACGCTGTTCCTTGAATTTGCAGAAAAGGTGTTTTTCCTTCTAATACTACTAATATTTATAGTTATTATTCTTATTGATATTATGATTATTAAACTTAATAGAATATTAATAACATTTAAGACAATAGAAAATACAAATGAAGATTTCCAAAAATCAAGGAAAAGGGTGAACAGGTGGGATGGCTAGGACTAATAATTAACTCCTTGGTAACAAAATACTTGTAGAACCATCTATGTGTAAATTCAATAGATGAACTTGTACTGCAATGGGCTTGGCATGTATTCTTGCTATCTGAGCCAATCTGGTTAATGATGATGTAAATTTTATATAATATTTTGATGTTCCTTCCACTTCTCATAGCAGCAGTCAAAGTTATAAGTGTAGGTGAGGAAAAGAGTAGGGAAGAGGTGAGGAAAAATAGTAAACCTCTTTGAAATATACTGAATGAGGTTAAAAGACAATTTTGATACATGGGAAATGAGTAGATATGGCCATTGTTATCACAGCCTCAGTTGCAGCTTTTAATTTTGATCTAAATAGTTTGCAGCTATTAAGTAAGCCAAGATGAAGCTGAGGAACTTTATTGTAGTGTATTGGTAATTTCATTCTGCTTTGCTAGGCCTGTTCCAAGCTCTGACATGCTCTATGTTGCTATATCAAGAATAGTTGAATGGTTGTTGCTGTGATTAAGATTGGAGGTCTGTCTTAACCCCAAAAGAGTGTTTGACATTCATTTGTAGGAAAATTTAGTATATTTCCATGAATGCATTCCTATTTTTTGTTTATGCCCCCACGCATCTCCACATCCTCACAGTAGTAGTCAGTCACCAGCCTGTACTGGATAAGC